CCAGATGAGGAAGAGTGAAGAAGTCCAGTTCTTTGGATGTGTTCCTGAAGAACCCTGCTCCTGGGTACCGCCGCCAGCACATCAGTGGAGCCTCCAGTGAGGAGAACACATGGCACACACTGCCAGCAAGGTCCTGAGATGGGTCCCACACCATCTTTTACTGTGGCGGCCAGACCTCTGTGGCAATGCACCCAGAAGCTTCTTTGATTTGTCTCAACTACCCATCATCCCTCTTCCAGACACAACAGGAGAAGAGGACAGATACTGCTCAAATGGGAATGTGGGTCCAGAGGGGCAGCTCAGCCAGTGACCAAGCACGAGGACTGAGTTTGGATCTCAAGCACTCACAAAAGGAGTCAGGCACTGTGGCGCTTGCCTGCCATCCGAGGGCTGGGAAAGTGGAGGCAGGACCTTACTGGAGCTCACTAGTACGAGTTCCAGGTTCAGTGAGAGAGTCTGTCTCAAAAAGTAAAGTGCAGAATGATAGAAGAGGCTATCCAATATCGGCGTGTACACGCACACATACAAAGATGTGTACACACAGTACTCTCACCACTGAAAAAGGAAATTTATGTAGGCCGGGGGGTGCAGCTCAGCTGCTCATGCGATGGCCCACGTGAGCCCTGAGCTTAATTCCCAAACTAAGAAAAAAAAGCGTACTTGAGGTTGTTGCTGATTATAAGTTCGCACATGTGTGTGGGTCAGGGGGAGGGGCTGTCTGGTGATGTCATGAGACCTACATTGTGTTTCACCTTGAGGATGAGTGTGAAGGTACTTCAACTTTTTAACAGGAATGGGTTATACAATTTTCATTAGCACAGTAAAGACATCCTCACTGAGATCTGTGTAGTGGTTTTCACATATATCAATCTGGTACCCTTTCAGTTGATCTGATTTCCCTGTTGGAACATCCATGAGACCAGCTGATTACAGTCTTTCTGGAACAGTAGCTAGCATGTGAGCGCATCTTTCTCAAGCTTTCGTTACATTTCCTAAATTTAATAAGTCTCATTTCAACAGAAGAGTTGGTTTAGAGATGAATTCACCCCAGGTCATCTTTAAAGTAAAGCTTGAAGCCAAACAGAAACTGCTACAGGGATTATCAAATATCCAACAAGCTCTTGTGTCTATGGTTTGAGGGCCTATCCACATACATGATTCTCTTCCTCCCCCTGTTCCCCTCTCCCTGGTGATGTGTGTGTTTAATATTAGCCTGGTGTAAACTCAGCTCTCTCCACATGCCACAGGTTTTATTTGTTGCTTCTTCTCTTATGTTGAGGTTGTTGCAAGCTTTCCGAGCCCCCAGTTATGCCATGAAGCATGATGGGGGAAGATAGTGGCATTTTCCTGTCCTCACCATTGTTTGAAGTCCTTTTGGATCAGAGCCAACAAAGCATTCACAGACTCCATTGGGATAAAAAATAACACCATAGAAAAGACTAGCAATTCTGATTGTGGGGTGACTTTTTAACTACAAAAGTCATATTTTCAGAAATGATAAGCTAAAGATAGGCTTAAAGCATTGACAAAATGCCCCCCCCATAAAATATGGGTTTCAAATGAAAAGAAAAATCTCAGTGCCTAGCATAGAACATGTCTCTATAATTATTAGTAAGGGAGACTGCAGGGGCCCACAAAGCAACAAAAGCTATTGTCATAGCTCTTGGTTGCCCACTGTAACTCCATGGTGAAGTACGTTGCTGAAGATACAACATACTTTGATCACAGAACAGAGAAATCAAGCTGGAACTGACCTAAGAACCTTCCTGCTGGTTAACTTGCCTGGAGCTGTGAGGTGCTTTCCAGGCCACTGAGGGGTAGGGTGGGGCTATAAGCATTCTCTCCTGAAACTGGACCCTGAAGGCTACAATACCAACCTTCCAGACAAGATGCACCCACTGACGTAACAGTGACATGAAAGTGATGGGAGCAACTAGCCACTTCCTGATTGGATTCTGGCCCCACTCCATAGGAGGAAATTTATGCCTGAATCTGTAAACCCAGTCAAAAGTCTATGTCTCCTGGATTATAGGTCGAAGGTCGTAATAGGGAACCTACTACTATTACTACTATTGTTTTTCCGAAAGGACACGTCAGACTGCCTTTCAAATATTTCTATTTATAGTATAGATTAGTGTTACTCTCAGCCTTGGCCAAACAAACCTCCTTTCTGCACTGGGCAGCAAGGCTGAGATTGGCTACTGGTCAAATTGGTGAGAATAAGTGACTGTTGAGGGCACAATTCCAAATGGAGGAAACTTACGTCAGCCTTTCCCCCAAAGTTCGGGGAATGCCATGGAAGAGGGAATTGAAAGAATGTAAGAGTCAGAGAGGGTGGAGAAGTGCGTGAAATGCTGTCTTCTAGACGTGGCGCAGGCATTGCTGTCATGAATGTACAGGGGCTATAATTACCTGTACAAGGTCAAGCCAACAATACTGACACGCACTCCAGCAAGTGCCACTAATTAGACTCAGTGGGTTAGCAAAAAGAAAAGGAAGAAAAAGGAAAGGACATGAAAATGAGAGGGAGATGTACTGAGAATTATCCTGGGGACATGGTGGCAGGGAGTTGGGTATGGATATTATGAAGATACAGCGTACACAGACATAAAGTTGTCAACAAATAGGTTATTTTTTTGATCTATCTATCTATTTTATGTGTCTGGATGTTTCACCTAAATGTATGTCTGTTGTACCATGTGAGTTCCTGGTGTCCACGGAGACCAGAAGAGAGTATCAGATATAGGTGCTGGGAAACAAACTCAGGTTCTTGGGAGGAACAGCCCATGCTCTTATCCATTGCGCCATTTCTCCAGCCCCATTAACAAATAAATAAAGTGTATCCAAAGTAAAAACGAAATAAAACATGTCAACAGTCTATTAAGAATTTGAAAACTCTAAATGGAAAATCAACTTACTCCCAATTGTTTTTATTTTTTTAAGAATAACATTTTAAGAATGATTCTAGCTATCTTTATCTTTCAGCCTGCACAAAAAGTTCCAGACTGTAAATGAACTTATATAAATTAGATGTCCTTCTACCAGATTTCTCTGTGTATGCTTTACCTCTGTGTCTCTAGTAAGAAGCGGAAAGCAGAAACGATCCTTTTCTTTACAGAGTGTGATTAGATGATTTAGACTCACCATTAATTCATAAGCCCAAGTGAAATCCATCTATTCAGTCAATAAATATTTATTGCATGCTAAGCATTATTCTAAGCACTGGGGATACAGAAAAAAAATTAAGGCAAATGGAGTTCTTTCCCTATGGAGATCTAGTCTAGATTAGAAAAACAGACAAACAAATAAACCAATAAATAAGGAAAACATCTAGCATACAGACGGTAACATGTTATAGAGAAAAAGAAACAAGGCACGAAGACAGGTTCTAGCGGTAATTAACCACAGTTGAAGGTGACATTTGAGCAAAGATGTCAAGGAAGTCAGAGCAAGCCAAACAGATATCTAGGGAGTAACATTGTAGACAAAGAAAGAAGTGTATGGAAAGGCCCTGATACGGTAACAAGCTTTTGATATTTGCACGAACATATTGGTGCAGAGAGACTTCAGCTTCAAACAGCTTTGTAAGTTGCACAAATTCGCTCACCTAAGTCGAGAGAGAATCGATACCACTGTGTTTGACCTGAATTAATGGTGGCTACATGGAAGTGAGTACTGTGGTTTCCGGTCCATCTCATGTAGCTGAATTTAACATTTTCAGGTGAGTATTCAAGTCTGCTATAGCCCATGTGGCAGTACAGAAGGCCGAGGTGAGGAATCAGACACCCCATTTGACCATCCTACGGCCATTAAAATAGCCATGCAGATCAGTAGCTCAGTGAGGTGACTAAATGATTGAAAACCTAAAGGACTGAGGGCTCAATCAGGATATATCTGTCCTATAGCAGTCATAGCACAGAGCACAGGGGTAAACCCAGCCTGAAATCTCAAAGAGGTAAGACATTGGCCTGCTGATAAAGTGCTACTGAAGCCTGGCAAATCAACCACAGGTTGTATTTATGCCAAGAAAAACCAATATTTGAAAATCTGGAGAGAGAGAGAAGGAGAGACAGAGATAGAGTGGGGGAGGGACACACGGACAGACAGACAAATGCACACACAAACACACACATGAGAGGGAGGAGGGGAACCCAAATATTTATCATATACTCTTTCAAATGGTAAAATGTCTCCAGATCCATTGCGAAGGGAAAGCGTGCCTGTCGTCAGGACAGGATTAAAGCACCAGCTTGAAAAAGGGGGTGTGCTAGTAATTCTATCACTGCATGCAGACAGAAGGTACACTGGGTCTCTTTAAATTGGCATGCTCAACCCCAAATAGCTGAGCTCGCAATTAAAAATTACATGCACACCTTTAATTCTAAGACTCTTATGATCATAGCAGCAAATGGCATAGTCGTCTTCTTACTTACCTGAAACTGTGAAAGCTTTACCCTACACCAGTATTTTTAAACCATCTGTTGGTTCATACTGATAGTGAAACACCTATGACTCCCATGCTCTGGCTCTGTGCAGGGTAGGTATGAAAAATCTCAGGTGTGATTCATCTTCAGTAAACCTCCTTTTCCAGTTAGACAACAAAATTATCGATTACCAAAGATCAAATCTTTCCATTTATAAAAAGAGTATTATTTGTTATTGCCCCTTCTATAAATTCTCCAGCACTGTCGTTTTCAAATATAGTTTTACAGTTTGGGTTTAAAAACGCTACGTGTCGAGAGGCTGGCTGCAATCACAGGTGCTGGGTCTTTTATCAAAGTAGGGCTGATATTGGCCTTCACTGGTTTAATTACAGGCACAGAACAGAAGCTAATTAAAAAAAAAAAATACTACCAGAGCACAATATCTTCAGGCTAGAAAGAAAAGATTCCTACCCTTTACTCCTCCTCATATTAAAAGAAGAAAGTTTAAAGACCTCTTTATACACAAAGCAGTAGGGGTGTGCTTTATGTTTGGTTGATTACAACATAACTATTCCAATTAGCTTAAACAAATTATTGAAGCTGAGAGAATCTCACAAGTTTGGGTTTAAATTTCTGTGACTGTGCACTCCTGTAATCCTAGAACTTGGGAGGCAGAGGCAGGAGGAGCACAGTGAGTTTCATTGTGTCCATTTTACAGTTGAGGAATCATAGTCTCAGATGAACAGTAATTTGCCTGAGGCCATTCAGCAAGCAAGGAGAATTTTACCAGGTCTTTCTGCCTCTAAAAATCTCCAATAATTCAAAGCGCTAAACAGACAGTGAAACTGGTTCTCCAGTCATTCTTCAAAGTCCCCAAACAAACAATGAAACACAAAAACAAAGGTCCATGTTCATTCAGTATCAGGTCTTGCAGGTTCTTAAAAACTTTGAGAACTAATGTGTCCCTAAAGATACACTCCAAAATAATTTTTCATGTCAATGAATTCCTATGGTATTAAGCAGCTGAGCCCACAAACTTCTGGAGTTCTGAGCCCTGGAACATACAAAGCCCTTTAAACCTTAGAGTCTAAAGAAACTTATACTGAGGCTCCTTGTGATGACTTCTGGAAAATATCCACCTCATTAGAGCATGGCAAGAATTGCCTCATTCCCTTCCTCAGACAAAGATCAAGAACAACCTTTTTTTTTTTTTTTTTTTTTTTTTTTACAGTTTTGTGACTAACGCTGTATAGATGCAGTTTCAGCCTTCTACTCCAGGCATCCACAAAGGAAACCAACTGTGGAAGGTTGAAACTTAAGTGGCTTGACTATAACAGGCTACTAAACAGATAAACCTTCCTAGCATTCAGATATATATGGTTTTTTTTAATGTAAAGTGGGCTTATTTCCCCTCACATTCTTCTTGGTGAAGGAGGGCTATTTAGTTCCAAAATCATGTTGTAAGTATTAATAATACTGGATTCCCACAACAGGGAAGGAGGAAAGTCAGCCCTGGGAGTGCTTTGATGGTTTTCCACAGGTCAAAGTGATTTAAAAATGGTCAGAATTCATTAAAAAAATATGTCCACATCTTCCTAAACTAACAGGAAAACTCTAAACTAAGCGGCTCTTTTTATGAGTGGGAAAGTGTTTTAATTATTTTCAAATGACAAACTAACTCTAACTCTAACCTATCCCCACCCGAGACACCAGCTTAGTCAAAGAGAAGATTTCTCTATCCTTTCTTCTCCATCCAAAACATCTTTAGCTACCACACTTCCCATGTCTGAAGTGTGCTGATAAGTGAGAAAGGAGTGAGGCTTGCATGAATTCCCTTACTGTTTGATTTCTCTACTCTAACTTCTCAGTCAAGTCAATAAATAGATTAAGCTTGAGTCTGGGTCAAGGCATGCAGAATTTATCCAGCCATTCGAAGCTTCTTTAATTTATTCCCGAGTCTCAAGATGATCAGGATGTTAGATCTGGATGCTCCAAAATGGTTGGCACAGGTGGCCCGGAAAAGGTCCAAAGTAGCCGGCTGGAGATGTGACTGTCCTTTCCTATCCAGAGCAGGGATGTTGAGCAGGTAGAGGGGCATTAGCCGGCTGGCTTCTGGATAGGGGTCCCTGTCAGGGGCGGTAGGCTGCGAAGTCCCTCGCTGGGGCATAGGGCTGGTAATGCTTGCGTGTGGGTCCGAGTCTCCGGGGTGTCATGTTCATGTAGTCACTCTGAAGAAGCCTGTTCCTTTTGCTGTTAGTCTACAGGGGAAAAAAAAGTCAATATGTAAGGACCTATAGGAGAGACTATGGGAGCGGTTCTAAGACTTTGGGGATAATTATTCAGACCATCAGCTGCCAAATGACCCTGAAAAGCAGTTGCTTTTTTTTTTTTAATGTGCCTTGGGCTAAGATAATGACGAATCAAAGCCAGACTACTAATAACTCTACTAGAAATCTAAACAAAACTGTTTTATAGAAATGTGTTCATTACTCTCAATGTTGTCATCTAATCCAAAGCCCAGGAGAATATTTAAGAACATATTCACTATTGATAATTAAACATGTTTGAAAGTCCTTCCTCTTTGGATAGGTTAAGCATATCCACTTTAATCATTTACTAAACTATTTTCCCATAATTAACAACAACACCAAAAAAAAAAAAATCCGAACAATGAAAAAAACTTTCGGTTCCTTCAGGATCTGAAATAATAATTATAAATTTATGTTAGCAGAGGCCAAACAAGTGAGGGTTTATAGTTCTGAACACCTACATCCCTAGCCCCTACATGCATGTGTTTCTGCAAAGACAGTATTGTCACCCACCACAGTTTCCCAGGCTTAGCAGCTCTGGATGAAATTCTACCAGGAGCAGAGAGGATACTGAATCTGGAGCTGGAATTACACTCACTTTACGTCTTGACCAAGTTTTGACTGTGGTCTGGAAGCATCCTTGCCAGATCAGTGTGATGGTAAAGTTTGCATAACTGTCAAAAGCAGAAAGTCAGGTGGATGGTCGAGTCAGTATTCTCTGTTATGAAAACACAGCGCCCATTTCTGAGCAGACAGGCCCAGTGTTCTGAGCAGCTACAATAGGTATGAACTGACAGATGTTCCTGACGAGTCAAATGAGTGGATGACTACGGCCTGTAGGCCTCATTGCTATACCCACCTGCCTTCCCGAGCCCTCAAAGTAAGAAAAGGAGGCTGGGGATGCTACTCAGGTAAGCATTTTCAGTTCTGATGCCAACCTTTCGGGTTTCCTTTGCCAACCCCCAAGCGCTAACCCTTGCCTGTGGATACTCCAGTGAAGCTACAGCTTTAAAACAAGATCTCAATAAGGGTGTCATGAATCTGAGGTTCTCCAGGTTATACACAAACATAAAGAAAATCTGTTCTAGTCAACTCCCATGCTGACCTCAACACCATTATCAGTGGGTTTAGCTAGCCTCATCCTGACTCTAAACCAAAGGCATGGAAATAGCTGGGAATCCACTCCAGACCCCACAGTGCTCATGGGCACCCACAGTGCGTATATAGGAATGCGTAGTGTCGCCACCTCCTTTGTCTGTGTATCTGTGTCACGCAGCAGTCAATGCCTGTTAAAGATGTGTGACGTGGAGGCCACTCTACCTTTCCCCTCCTTCTCCCTCTGCTCCATTTCCCAGACAAAGCAGCAACACATAGGACGTACATGAGCAATGCACTTAATTAGTCAAGAATGTAGTAGATTTAAAAAGGCGGAGGCTACCTAAACATACACATTGTGGTGCACATTGGCAAAGAGAATGTTAAAAACAGAAACAGTCCTCCTCCAGGCTAGAAAAGGGAACCAGTGTAACATCTCAGCTGAGCGAATAGAGACTTGGGAGCGACGGCCGGAAGTCTGTGGCAGCCTGACCAAGAAGAGCCTTTTCTTTACTCAAATGCCAACACCAGGTCAAGCACAGACACAGAAACCCTACACAGCTTGGAACCACCTGCAGAAACACATCATGGATTCTTGGGAGGCTCTGGAAAATGGTCACCAAGACACACTGCTGACCAGCCAAAAATAGGATCGCAGAAAGTGGTGAAGCCCTAGGATCCCCAAATGCTCACTGAGGTGCTTCTAAATCAAACAACAAAAAGGGGGAAGGATAAGCCCAAGGTAAAGATATTACACTGTTCTATGAAATGTAAACTGTTTTTATCTGCACCATTTGGTCAGAGAGTACAAAGACCTGGGTTTGAGGTCCGAATAAGTTATGCCCTTATCAGATAACCAAGTTTGACTCCCAAAAGCCACAGAGGACCAGACATATTAAGCAGTAAGGTTGTCCAAGTCACAGAGCGCTTATGAGAGAAGCCAAAAATAGTTTTCTCAAGGCAGAGAAGATGAATCTTACCAGGAATTATGGGGCTGCCAAAGAAAAGCTCAAAAACATCTCTGATGCCTGATTTGAAGGGTGGATTGTTTTAACTCACTGAAAGTGAGAAGCTGCCTCCAGTCACTCAGCAAACTGGTGTCTCATTTTAGAAGCTGACTTCGTAATGCATATTTACCATAAAAGTGGTGCCCGAGGGACCACTGAAAGCTAAAGCAGTTTCCTGAACTACTTCCCACAAAGCTAGTAAATTCCTTTGACCTAGGTCAATACATGACAAGGGAGCCCCTTCCCTGGAAGGGTACCCAGAGGGCCACTGCACCTGGCCTTTAGATTAAGAAACTCAAGCTTTCAGTCAGAGACTTGGAAAGCCAAACAGCAAGCAAAAAAGTCAGTGGTTGAAGATTGGAAAAACCAAGCCAAACCCAAGGATGCTAAAATCACTGGCAACCACGGTAGAGCTGGACAATAGCAAGCAGATGACCAAGTCCAGAAGAACAAGCATCCTCAACTGTACCAGAGGCAGAATTTGGGCAATACTTCCCTATACTAAAGCCTCCCACCACCATATCCTGATTAGAAAACATTCGGAATTCCCAAGATGACAGAAAGAATTCCCAGGAACAAGCAAACACTCTGTTTCCTACTCTGTAGAAGTTATAGATTAGTCGAAAGGTGGCCTGACAGTTTAACTTTAAGGCTAGCTAGAAGACAGAACTTCATGACTTAGAGTTAGAGCTGCCCCATCCCCTCACCAACACTTCCAGAAATCCCTGACTATACATTGCTTAGTTAAATGTATGGCTTATGCCTTGAAGTAGATATCATATTTCAAGCAGGCTTAGTTAGGTTCTTATTTGGCTCCTGTGAGGGTTACCTATTTAGCAACCCAGTAAGCATTCAGTAAGTCTTCAGTAAGCACTCAGTAGCAGATGGGTGGAAAACAACAAGAAAAATGTCTTTAATCCTTGTGGAGCATACATTTCTCATTGAAGAAATTACGTGTGTGTTCACCCAACTTCTGGAAAAAATTCAGAGGTATGTGGAATCAATGCACAAGGCATTCTGTTCTTTGTATACAAATTGATTCCTAAGAAAAGGATCCTTGCTAAGGCAGTACCTTCTTAAGAGTGGGTATGTTCATCAAAATGTGTTCAAAAAGTAGGAGAGACGGTTCAGAGTTCCAGAGTACTGGCCTCTCTTCCAGGGGACCTGAGTTCAATTGCCTGCACACACATGGTGGCTCACGAATGTCTGCAGCTCCAATTTCAGGAAATCTGATGCCCTCTTCTGGCTTCCATGGGCACCAGACACACAGCGGTACACTGACGTACATGCAGGCAAAACACTCATACACACAAAATTATAAAATTTAAAGGTTTTTTTAAAAAACGTGTTCAAAAGCCAGACATGGTGGCACACACTTATAATTTCAGCACTGGAGAGGCTGAGGCAGGAGGATCACCACGAGTCAAGGCCAGTGTGGATTGCATTGTAGGTTCTAGGCCAGTCTGAGCTACATAGTGAAACACTGTCTCAGAAAAAAAAAAATCTAACAAATGAAAAATGTTTAAGCTAGGATCAAAAATTCAAGGTGAAAAAATATATACTAAGCTGATTGCTGAAGCATCTGCAGAGACAGGTGAGCTCGGTTCAGTGGAGAGAACTATGAACAGTCTCCCTCCCCTTACGCTTTCATAATGACAGCATCCAAGTCGCCCTCACACAAAGCAACTGCTTCAGAAGACACAGAAAACAGGACTGACATAAACAGACCTGCTTCTTCTGGTTTGAATACACAGTTTCAGCAGGCTGCTTTCTCCTGATTTTTGGCTCCCAAGCCAAAGCTGTTCCGTTGGCTTCAGTTGCCTAGCTTCCTGATGAGGCTCGGATTTTTTACTTTGCATATGCATTTAAGCTGCCTTATATGTAATTGTTATGTTGCAGAATAAAGAATAAGAAAGTTAACCCCCTGTAATTTCCCACCCTAATCTCCCCATTTAGTTCAAATTCTGCCTGGCCGCTTAGTACCTTCTAGAAAGCAGAACTCATGTCAAATCATTACTTCACATAAGGTTGAACAGACTGAGAAACAGTGCCTGCTTCAGCATTGCAGCCGGAAAGATGCAGGCCAGATTCTTAATACAGTCAGAGTGCGTGTGCAGGGAAGTTACTTTAAAAGCAATGCTGCTCCTCTTACCCAGATAATACAAAGAGCCGCTGTCACTAGCAAGCCATAAAAAAGCAGAACTCCAGCAACCACGACCAGTGTCCAAAACAGCTTAGGAGATGCCTGAGCGTGGCAAACATGTTTCTCTGAAAAACATAAGAGAGTGGATTAAAGGACACAGAAACAGACGTTGAGTACATTTCTGCCCTGAACATCAGAGAGGAATTTGAAAGTGCTAAAATATGCAAAATATTAGCAGCTTAGGTGATCTAGTCTTGCTCTTTGGGACTTACTCAACCCCATCACTGCTGAAGGAAGCCCAAGACCAAGGTTGCAAACCACTGCTTTATAGTGCTGTGCCGGAGTTGAGCATTGCGTAATTCAAAATGGCGACTCTCGGTGACTTTAACCTGACCCTCCCCCGCCCTCCTACTCCCATCACAAGCTAATCCATCTATACCCTAAACACTGTCTTTGAAATCGGTAAAATTATATGTTTTCAGACCCTAAGAAAAAAGCATCAGCTTAATACGGCAGTCAGAAAACTAGCCTGGAAAAAATTTGAAAAGATAAAAATCTGACACCAACTCCACCAGGTTACCTGACGCTCAATGGGTCACACTCCGCGTTTGGCATCAGAAGATGAGGAAGAAGACATGCGAAGCTCATGGAGAGTTATAACTAGGAAGAAGACTTCACAGCTCATTGAGATGTATAAACTTTGGGTCTGATTAATTTCGATACGTGATATTTTTTATTTAGAAGTGCTTTGCAGTAAAGTTGTAATAAAAACACATAAATGAAAAGAATACCAACAACTCTCTAGTCCATGAAATTTTTAATCCTGACTACACATTAGAATTATCCTACAAAGTGTGACAACATTGTCTAGCTCCCCTTCCTCAAGCCGTCTTGACTAAGTCAGAAGCTCAAAGTTGAGCACAGGCATTTTTCAATTTACCTAGTTAAGTTTATAATACACAAACAGGGTTGAAAGCTGCCAAGGACAGAATCACTGATGCCTTTTCCAAGTCTCCTAAATGTATGCACATAAAATACTAGCCTAAAAGAATGTGTTTTTTATAAGGGAGAAACATTTTATTCTTGGCTTCCAAAATAGCATATCTTTTTTTAATCCCTTGCTTAATCCAATCAAAATATTTTTGCTTGAGCATTATTGATTTAGAAATCTGAATCCACATATTAATTGTCTCTGGTTTTTTGGTTTTTTTTTTTTTTTTTTTTTTTTTTGCCAGAGCACAAAAGCTACTCTGCTATATTAAGAAAATAATTCTTTCCTTGTTTGGTATTAGATTTTTCTCAAGCACAGCTTTGTTATGGCATAAGAGAAAATGCATTTATTGTAATTGTGCTAGAAGTGAATATAAAATGGGGCATATATTTTCTTATTTATCACTCTGCAGAAAAAAGAAGCTATAATATAGGCATATACATAAAAATCTACCTGACCTCCTTGAATTTTATATGCTAATGCCAATACCTTTATTTGAGTTTAAGAATCCTGTTATTTTTCTTCCCAATGTTTAGACAGAACATAATCTCAACATAAACATAGTACACTTATTGCTACTGAATCATGAGTAAATGCTTAATTATATTGAGTTTGGAGCTATTAAGAAATTGGATAACTTACCCAAGATCATCGATTTCATGTCCCCTAAATCTCTAGTCCACCATCCTTTCTATGTTTTGGAAAATGAAAAGAAGCGTAATGGAGGGAGAGCATGGATCACAAAAAAAGAGAATTAACTTGGTCTCCAATCCATCCTTCCTGAGTCCTGATCCATCAGACTATCTTTCATCCTAGAGGACTCCAAGCTCAGTGTTAGCTTGATCTTAGCCAAAAGTTCAAAAGGCAATAGACTTTAATTTTAATGGCAAACTTTTTCTTGACACAGTCTCCTTGAATCAAGAATAATCTTTTAGGTTCTGTTCCCTTGGACTGGAACTCCTTCCCTCACTCTTTCACATGATGTCAGTGAGGAAAGGTAAAGGCATTCAAATATAAGATGGAATTACTTCTAAAGTAAAAGGAACCCAGCTTAAACATGATCTTTGAGTCGCTCAGCATTGCAAACCCTTCCTTTAAGGTTACAGGAGTATAGCTGCATATTACCTTTCACGTGAACAATAGTTCCGTTGCTCTTCTCGTTGTCTAAGTAAGGTGGAGGATACATGACCTCAATTTTGCAGAAGTAAATATCTGTGTGATTAACATGCAGGTTCCAGAGGTAGAATATCACGGTATCATTTTGCAAATCCCCACGACAGCTGAACCCGGTGTTTGAGTGAAACGGAAGCTGATAGGAGAAATTCCCATTCACAACGCAGACTTCCACATCACTGTTCACGCCCTTGTAAATGGACGCTCGGAACTCCTTTGACAGGAGGCTGTAGGAATACCTGCAGCTGATGCTGGCTTCATTGTTGTCTACCACGAGCATGGGCGACTGCTTCACCAAAATCTTGTTTTCTGAGGGAGAAAAATTAGGAGTACAAGAATAATAATTCTGTTGCCCTGAGATCAAAATGAATTAATTAGCCAACTGAAACAGATCTCCAAAAGTTAGTCTCTTGGCAGATAAAGATATAACAATAGTTCTTCTTGGAATAACAACTGCACCAAAAGTTTCGAAGTTTTTATTTCAATAACACTGGCGTCCCTTTTTGAATGGGAAAACAGAGCATGTTTCCACCTGGAAGGCAAAACATGACCTTCTGTCAGCATCGAGTATCACAGCCGTGCACTAGGAGTTTTGGGATTCTAATGATGTTAATCAGGCCTTGAGCTGACTTTCTGCATAAGTGAATTGCTTGGAAGCAGCCCGAAAGCCTGGTGTGGGTGTCCGAATGAATTTGTTTTCAGTTGTGCAACAGGCTTTTGTAAAGGGATTTAAAAGTTTCAAACCATTCTGCCTTTGCCACTTGACCAAATCAAGAGTAGGATAAAGAGGTGAGGAAAGAGGAAAGCTCTCGTAGCTCCAAGTGCTGTCTTTCATTTCTCCTCCATAGCAAATTCAGAGGAGAGCCTTGCAAGAAACTGGCTTGTTTGTTCTCTTACATCAAGAAGAGTTCTACCTTTATGCAATAAACAGTCAAAGATCTGGATACCACCTAATTCCGTTTCTCACTTTAAAACCAAACAAAACGAAACTACATTCTCAACTTCATTAAGGAGGAAACCACATTGAATTGTTTTCCAGTACATCCCCGTTTCTAGAACACAAAAATATATTCCCTTTTTAAAAGAAATTATTACATTTCAAGTGTGTGTGTGTCACAGCACACAAGGAGAGGGCAGAGGGCAAGTTGCAGAAGTCGGTTCTCTCCTTCCTCCCACGCTTCGCATCAGACACCTACCCTATCTTTAGCTCTATATATTTTCTAAACAAACAAAAAAGGTCTCACTGTATAGCCCCGGCTGACTTGAACTCACTACATAGACCAAGCTGGCCTGGCACTCACTAGTTCCCCTGCCTCTGCTTCCTGAGTGCTGGAATTAAATGTGTAGGACATTATTCCTACATATCCACTTAAAGAAAAGAAAAGGACTAAATGAGGTCTAGACACATGAGTGGTTCATCTACAGTCCTTGAGCAAATGGTGAACAAAACTGAAACCAAAGGCCACACCACCTGAATACCCAGCCACTTAAGCATGGAAAATCAACTGCACAGATGAAAGATCCTACAACCTTTTATCTGAAGAACAACCTCAGGTGTTCAGAAGTAAACAAATTGCTATTGTCTGTGGGAAAAAAATTTAAATAAAATAAATTTTTGCTAGGGAAGCATGCTAATAATTATCAGTATATATATATATAATATATATATATATATATATATTATATATATTTGTGAGCCTATCCATTAACAGTTGACCAATCTTTTTAGCCTCCTAGTTGTAATTTTTAAAAGGTTACTTGTACCCACACCCAAGAGCCAGCTAGAATCAGAAGTTGTTAAAAAATGAAATTTGTCACTTAACCTGATATTGAATCCATGGACACAGGTGTTTTGTTTTTGTTTTTTGTTTGTTTTTCATTTTGGATTTTCTGGTTTTGGGTTTTTGGTTTGTTTGTTTGTTTGTTTGTTTGTGGCTTTTTGCTTTGGGTAGAAGGTAAGAACACAGAATTAAATATCTAATAGCTTTTGTCTTCTATATAATTATCAGTATTTCTGCACATCCAGAACCTAAAAAGAAAACACATACCCATGGCCTCTTACTCCCAGAAATTCTGATATCGTTGATATAGGTTAAGATGTGGTTAGTGTTGATATTGGGGTTTGGAGTAACTTTACTGAAATGTAATTCACATATCATAAAGTTCTCCTTTTAACAAATACAATTAAGGGATTTTGTTTTTAATACTCAGGAAGTTGTGAGTGGACTACACCTATCTGTTTGTAAAATATCTTCACTATATGAAAAGGAAACTTCATGCTCATTAGCCGTCATTTCCCATCATTCTCTGTCCAGCCTCTGGCAACCGCTCGTCTACTTCTTGTCTGTATTTGCCCATTCGGGACATTTTGTGTGCACGGAGTCCTAGAATGTGTGTCATTTTGTATCTGGCTTCTTTCACATAGCAGGTTTCCAGTTTCATCCGTGTTGTGATAAAGTATCAGAACTTTATGACTAGATGATATTCTACTGTGTAGATACAGTACATTTTGTTTTTCCACTCAGCATTGTTTGCCTATTTTGAACAACACTACCATGGTCCTCTGGGTATGAGCAGAGAGGTGGGGGGCTAGACAGCATCCACACTCCGGTGTTCATTTAGTGACTCCTGGCTGATTCAACAGGTGACCTCTTCCCAAGACTCAAGCAAGAGAGACAAAACTGATTTCCTAACCATGATTTCCTGGGTCAGTTCACAGTCTAGTAAGGAGGAACAGTTTATAAACAGCTAGCCTTGATACAGGGCAGTCATTCTCTGAGATGGTTTTTCTCAGTAGAAAGTGATCTGCAGAGTCTGGGGGCATTTGAAAAACCAATCACAGGTTTCCTAGACAAAGATCGCTGGTCTGAGAGGTAAAGAAAGTTGCCTACGCTGATTGACAGATGTTCACCAAGCAAAAAGTTAGCCTAAAGTGTGTCTTCAAGTTGAGGGGACGTGGTAAGTGTGTGCTATTGAGACTAAAAGCAAATTGGCGACATGAGGAGAAGAGAGGAAGAACAGCAAAGAAAATAGAAGGTAGGAGTGAGTGTGACAGTCTGGGGGGAATCACAGCGACCTCCATTCTTACCAAGGGTTATGAAAGGCGAGATTGGGAAAGCAAGTTCGGCTCCCTCCATCAGAGACCTTGGGGGCCCTCTCCTGCCAGTGAGAGAGCCCTAGCGAAGGCTCTTAGGCAGAAAAGTAGATGCACACAACTTTTTCATTTATGTAAATCACTTTAACAAAGTCGGAAGCTGTACTTTGGAAGGTACAAGAGTGAAGGCATGGAGAGTGGGCAAGATTCAGCTGTTTTCCAGGTCAGGGGTGAGAGTAAACTGGTTTGGAAGTAGTGGATGAGGTGAGAAATGTTCAGGCTAATGCTTACAGCACGACTTGGCAGTGATTTAGGTGTGGGTAAAGAGAAAAGGAAGAGTGTACAGTGACTTCCTCAGCCACACAGACTAAGGAACATGTAGCTGTTTTTCTCCTTGCCCACACCTTTTCACTCATTTCTATTCCATTGCGTTACCAGAATAGACAGGTCTCAAAAATAGTTAAGTTTGGACATCTGGGCTATCAAGAAGGCATGTTTTCAGCTTCAGGGGTCATGACACAGGGTGGAAAGTTTCAGAAGGAAGAGGCAGCAGTCATTCTCTGAAACGGTTTTTCTCCTCAAGGAGTAATACAGGAACTAGAAGGTAGCCTTTTGTTCTTCCCATCACGGCTCTCGATATGGTTGAGGTTGTCTGCTTTCTTCTGAGCCCGTTTGACCTCAGCATTACAAACTGAGAATGTTCTCAAGAAGAACTCTATGGCCCATGTCAAGACTGTCTGTTACGTGTCAGTGTGCTGGTGACATAACCCAGCCACGGAGCAAGGAGAGGGAAAATACTTCATTTTGTGACTGTGCCAAATTCTGTTGGGAAACAGTTTGAAACAACTATGGAAAGGGAATGGGCAGTTTATCTGTTGATGTTACAGTTATTCTAAATGGCACTGACCATGTGTGTTCATGCGGTCTCTAGTATATACCATACTTTAGCTTCTTCTACTTTCCTTTAAAGTGCAGTGTGTGTGAGGAGACATAACTTCACTCTACAGCAGTGCAAAGGTACAGATAAACCAAAGCAAGTGGCAATGGTCAATTTGGTTATACATTTTGGTTTTTTGTTGTTTCTTTGTTTGTTTGTTTTTTGAGTTTCTGGGAATCTGCGGTATTTGAAATAGTTTAAAAGGATGCTATAAAATTCAAGGATATACCTACGCTTAGAACAGCGACTCTCAGCCTGTGGTCATGACCCCCTTGACGGTTGCCTATCAGCTATCCTGCATATCAGATATTTACATTATGATCCAAAAACCATAGCAAAACTACAGTTATGAAGTAGCAACAAAATAATTTTATCGTTGGGGGTCACCACAACATGAGGAACTGTATTAAAGGGTCGAAGCGTTAGGGAGATTGAGAAACACCTCCCTAGCTTGGAAGAAACTAGATCTACATTTAGCTTTCCTGTACTAGCTTCTGTTTGAAGACTTGCTGTTTTCCAAGTCATGCTAGGAATGACCTTTCTTTCCCTCTGCAAGTATTTGATTCTGTTTTCCTTCTTGTGAGTGGTTTACCTAGGTTCCACCTGCTAGCCTCCGCACTGCATTGGCTTAGCACAGTAACAGACTGCCCTGGCTGGCATGCCTCCACTGATTGGCAGGTTGTTTTGATGGTGAATTCGTGCTTTGATTTTCAAAGCCTTTTCTAGCAGCTAAAGGAGCTTAAGATGTGGAGACAGGAAGCAGTAACCTCAAAACTCTCTCCCTCACATCGCCTGCTCAACAACACACAAGAAGAGTAAGATCAGAGGTGAGAAGGCACTTTATCAGCCCATATGCAAGGCTGTGAAAGCCAGATTTCCCACCTATAGTCTGTGAAGCTTATGGTAGAACCAGCTTCTGGAAGGTTGAAAATTGACTGTGTTTCCAAGAGAATGGGGTGCTTACAAAAAAAAAAAAAACACCCAAAACCCTCCTTCCTTCTCATCAAATCTATGTAGGTCAGGTACTACATTTAGGAACCAGACCAACCCCTGTGCCCATGCATTGAAGAACTCTAGGGTGTAGCTCCCCATGTCAAAGAACCTTGCCCTTAAAAGGATGCACGGGAAACCCCCCCACACATACACCCAGTTAAGCTAACTCTTGTATTTACAAAGAACATGAAGTGTAAAATACAATGTAGGGAACAGTGGCTTAGAATTCATGAGGCTACAAAAAGATTTCAAAGAGTCCAAGTTTCAGGACAAATAAATAACCTT